TATATAGAAAGGTTGCAGACAAATAAGAGGAAGAATGTGGAAGCATTACTTACTGTGTACGGATCAGTGATAAGAGAGAGAGGAAACTAATTAGCATTCTTTTCATTGTCAGTTGTTTTCAATTGTGTTGTGATGACCTGGATACAATTTCCCATAAGAACTAAGTAGTAAAAAAAACAAACAAATAAAGAAGAAGTTGATTGCTTTATTGCATTTGATACTTAAGTAATCAGTCTGAAAGAATGATTTCAAGAATAAACAGCTTAATGGATTCTGATTGGTTGTTTACAGTTGATGTTTTTACAATAAAACACCTTCTTCCCTCATTTGCCTCCTCAGATAATATAGCCAAGCTTTCCAAAAATGAGTCCAATTTCATTCACTGTGTCAAAATTGTGAATCAGAGACACAGTTTTTGAGCTATCACTGATTACAATGTACATCTTTCTTGTTGAAAGAATTATTTTCTCCTGTAATTTTTTCTGGTATAATTCTGAGCTTTCTTTGCACTAGGTAGACTGTAATTCCTGACCAAGGGTTTTGTAAGGGATGTTGTAAGTCAGTAGGTCATGTGCAGTTTCATCAGACATTAGCAAACATATTTTTTGCCAAATTCCAGTGGTGAAAATTTGTAATAGTTTTATAAGTAGAAGTGAATAACATATTCACAAGATGAAGTTTAAGCCAGTCTCTAACACAATGCTATACTTCTCTTTTTAACCACAGATTCCTCTGTTAAAGTTTATTGATACTATAATAAACTCATTGTAATTACCTCTAATCAAGTGCCTACTCTCTATTGAATGCTTGACAGTTGCTCATGAAATCTTAAAAACAATTCTAAAAAGTTTTATTTACAGGTCTCAACTATAGTTGATAAAACTAAGGTTCAGAACAGCTGAATTATTTGCAGTCATAGATTTTTAAGAGAGAACTTAGAATCTGAGACTAACCCCCATCTTCAGGCTCTTTGTATTATATCACATTACCTCCATTTTATGCCAAATGTTAGAGTTTCCTTAGGACATGAAGGCAGATGTTCATATGCACACCTGTGCCTATAAGCACTGGCCAAGACATAGAAGATATCAGGTCCTGTCGAATGAGAACTAAGCAATGATTCAAGTGAAAAAATGTAATATTTAAGACTAAAATTTAGTCATCAATTCCATGTTAAACTTTTTGATATTTCATTTTAATGGGAAAACTATTTTTTTATTAAGAGATCCATCATTTCTTATAGTTTTGTGTTATGGGTATGCATTTTAAAATGAAAATAAAAGTAAAAGGATGTTTCATTCAAGTAAAAAAAAATGTTGCTTTATCCCCGTTGTAAGTCCATTGAAACCAAAAACTTTGTCATCATCTGGGATTAAATCTCCATGCTCAAAGAACAATGCCATGAATTTAGCATTAGCCAAGATTGCTATACTTGACAACAGTTCCAGTTCATCACAACCATGTATATAACCTTGAAACATGGAAAGTACATTCTCTATTGAGCCATTTTAATAATCAATGATAAATGGAACTACAGGTCCACAGTCCCTTCCTTGCATTCCCAAAACCAAACTGAAGATTTGGGTAATAGTGATATTAGAACTTATTTGGCTGAAAAACATGCTCTGAACTGACATGAGGCTATAAATAGTCTTAATTTAACTTCACTTGTATATATTTTCATGTGTTTTACAACAAAACTATTAATATATTAATTAAGAGTTGCTGCAGATGGGATATAATATATGCACCACATTACTGTTCTAAAATCCAAACAATTCTGAATATCAGAGCACATCTACCTTCAACAGTTTTGGGAAATGGATTTTGAAATGCTCTCCTTCATGTTCAGCTTTGTTGCAATTGAAATACCATAACTGAATTTTCAGTATGATTCACTTTTCATGATGTGATATTACACTAAATCGATCTATTTCAATTAGTTTGAAATAATAGGATGTATTCCATAATTAATCTATTACTGTTAAAATAAGTAGCCTTCCAGAAAAGGGGGGCATTCACCCTTGGTAGAGGTAAATGCGGTCTTTTCTCCTTTACACTGTGCAGTCATGAGAGCTGAATGATCAGGATATAGCACATTCTATCACACCAGAAGTTTCTTGAAGCCTTTTTACAGATAATCCCCTTTCCACCCTCAACATGAGAACCATTTCTGCTACTGTGGAATGGAATAGTGCAATATATATTTCTTCCAGTCTGGCTTCTTTCAGTTTTGGAGATTCATTCATCCTATTTCATGTATAGTAGTAATTTTTTATTGTTGAGTAGTACTTCATGATGTGGTATTTCACAATTTCTCATTTACCTAAGAACATTTCAGTTGTTTCCAGATTGAGTAAGTTTGCTATAAGCATTCACATACAAGTCTTTTTGTGAGTATATGTTTTCATATTTTCTTGGGTAAATACCTAGAAGTGAGCTATTGGGTCCATTTCAAAAAGCACATATTTAACTATAAGAAATGGCCTAACCTGTTTTCCAAAGTGGCTTACTATTTTACACCCTGCTAATAGCATATGAGAGTCCTATATATACAGCAAATATATATTCAATACAGATGGTGCTGTCACGTTTTTTAAAAGTTTAGCTAGTCTAGTGGATATGTAGTAATATCTTATGGTGGCTTTAATTTACATTTCCCTGATGACTAATGAAGTTCAGCATCTGTTTCTAATCTTATTAGCTATTTGTATGTCTTTTTGTGAGGTCTTTGTTCAAATCTTTTTCTTTTTTTTTTCTTTTTACTGTTGAATTATGAGATTTCTTTCTATATTCTAGATTCAAGGCCTTTATCAAATATATGTATTATAAATCATTTTTTCTATTACTTGACTTCTTATTTTCTTACTATTGCTTTTTGTGGAGCAAAACTTTTTACTTTTAATTAAGTCCAACTGAAAAAAATTATATGGTTTGTGATTTTATTGTCCTAAAAAATCTGTGCTTATTCTAATGTGTCAGAGATTTTCTTCAATTATAATTGTTTAAAAATGAAATTTACTATCTTGTGAAATACTGAGCTCTTTTTGTTTTTTCTTTATTTAGTGAGAAGTTAAGCCAAGTAAGTGTTAAATTCCTTCTTAACTAGCATTTTAAAAATTAATTCCTCAAATTTTCTCTTAAAAAGCTGTACTAGCTATTTTTCTAAATTTTGTGGTTTATCTGACATTGATATTCCTAGTTCTCAATTAGAAAAAAAACGGAAGAAGTATAGTTAAGGGGAAAATGTGTTAAGTGCCTATATACCAATATAGCCTTACTTCCAAAGCCGTCCTAGGCATGGGAAGATTACTCCTGATTGGGCAAGAAAAGCTTCATGACAAAGTCTAATCATAGCCTCAAATTGGGTTATGAATGACAGTAGAATTTTGATAGACAAGGATGAAGAGAAGACCTTCTGCATAGCATGTCATAAACAGGAGAAGAGAGGGAAAATTTTTAAAAATAGTGTATCAGACAGTAGTGGGCTGTGCAGTTTGGCTGGAGATCAGTTCCATTTTAGGTGGCTAATGAGACCTAACCCTAGGAAAAGTAATTTGGAGGAAGGGTGGAAGGGGGGTTTGTATTGTATTAAGTGTTAAGTGCTGACTAGATATTTTTTCTGATATGGGCACTCATTGATGATTTCAAGTAGGACAAGAGTAGAGTCAGAGAGGTGCTCTAGAAAGGTATTATGAAGCCTTAACGAAAGTGGTTCAAGAGACAAAGATATTAGCTCAAAAAGACTCCAATTAGTGCTCAACTGAATGGAACTAGACCTCACTGCCAAGTACTGAATTTCTCTTTTTCTTTTCTTTTATGTGTGCGTGCCTTGTCTCCCTTTCATGATTGAGTTTTTTTTTTTTTATAAAGGAAGGTGTTGGTCTAATTCTTCCTCTCATAGTCTCCAGCCTCTAATGTAAACCACACAGCAATGTTGACTGATACACATGCCATCCAAAGAGAATGTATGAGGAGGCAGAGGGAGAGTGTAGAAATTGCAAGTTCCAGGGAGATATTAATCCAAGGCTTATTATTAGAATTGGCTTTCAGAACGTACAACATGTTCTATCAGATTCTCGTTCATCAGAGACCAGTTTTATTTTTGACTCTGTGGATGTAGTCAAGTCACATTGGCCCCAAGTTCTCTCGAGTTCACTTTCACTGGCTCTAAAATGAGAAGTTTAAATGAAATGATTCTAAGGTCCTTCTCATTTTGAACTGCTGCACCTTGTTACAGAATTAATATATTATTTATTTCTGATTATTTATGTGGGAGTTTTAAAAGAGGTCATTTAAAAAGTGCTCCTAAGGCCAGGTGCATTGGCTCACGCCTGTTAATCCCAGAACTTTGGGAGGCTGAGGCAGGCGGATCACTTGAGGTGAGGAGTTCGAGAGCAGCCTGACTGACATGATGAAACCCTGTCTCTACTAAAAATACAAAAAGATTACTTGGGCATGGTGGCGCATGCCTGTAATCCCAGCTGCTCAGAAGGCTGAGGTAGGAGAATGGCTTGAATCCAGTAGAGGGAGGTTGCAGTGAGCTGAGATCGTGCCCCTGCACTCTAGCCTGGGGGACAAGAGCAAAATTCTGCCTCAAAAAATAAAAAATAATTAAAAAAAAATTGCTTCTAGGGTGCGCCCCGGCTGCCGGCCATGCGGCTGCTGCTCCTCCTCTTGCCCTGGGACCTCTGAGCGCGGCTGCTTCGTGTACCGACCTGAGCACCCACCACCAGCAAGGACGCTAGCTGCCTGCTGCAGAAAGATCTCAGAGTAAAGAACTTAAAGACATTCAGCTATGTGAAGCTGATTTCCATGGAAACCTCATCATCTTCTGATAACAGTTGTGACAGCTTTGCTTCTGATAAACCTAAATTCAGGTCAGGTACCAGTGAAGAACTGGCAATTTTTTTTTTATGAGGACTCTGATATGAATCTGTCTACGGCTTTTCAGAAAGTGGGGGGCAAGATGTATTAGACCATTGTGGATTTTTACAGAAACCAAGGCCGGATGTCCCTAATGAACTGGCCAGGATTTTTCATGCGGACTCTAATGATGAATCATTTTGCAGTTTCTTAGACAGTGAGATACAAGACGGAATGAGGCTGCAGTCAATTCGGGAAGGCTGTAGGACCCGCAGCCGGTGCAGACACTCTGGACCTCTCAGAGTGGCGGTGAAGTTTCCAGTGCGAAGTACCAGAGGAGCAACCAGCAAAAAAGCAGAGCTCTCGCAGCCCTCCGAGAATTCTGTGACTGATTCCAACTCCGATTCAGAAGATGAAAGTGGGATGAATTTTTTGGAGAAAAGTGCTTTTTTTTATTGCATCTTAGGTTTTGGGGTACGTGTGAAGAACACGCAAGATAGTTGCATAGGTGAAAAGTGCTTTAAATATAAAGCAAAAAAAGCAATGCTTGCAAAACTCATGCCTGAAGTAGAAAGCTTCCCTGGCTGGTTCCCTGGAAGATATTCCCTCCCAGGCTCCAACTCACAACCGAGGAGTCCTCAAAGGCGTACATTCTCAGGGGTTGCATCCAGGAGAAACCCCGAACAGAGAGCTGGTCTTCTTACCAGATCAAGGCTTCGGATCCTCTAGTCCATTGACACCCGACCCATGGAGGAGGAAGAGGATAACTACATGTTGGTGAAACAGAGGACGACTATGGACAGCTACATGAACGAAGATGACATGCCCAGAAGTCATCCCTTCAGATCGTCCGTGACGCTTCCCCATATAATTCGCCCAGTGGAAGAAATTACAGAGGAAGAGTTGGAGAACATCTGCAGCAACTCTCAAGAGAAAATACATAGCCATTCACTGGGTTCTGCTTGTCATCAATGCCATCAGATGACTATTGATACCAAAACAAACTGCAGAAACCCAGACTTCTCTGGCATTCAAGGATAGTTCTGTGGCCCCTGCCTTCAAAATCGTTATGGTGAAGAAGTCAGGGATGCTCTCCTGGAAACTGAACAAATGGTTCTTGAATGTTGACTGGATAAACAATGAAATGAAGGCAGAAATAAAGATGTTCTTCAAAACCAACGAGAAGGAAGACAAAATACACCAGTATATCTAGGACACATTTAAAGCAGTCTCTAGAGGAAAATATATAGCAATAAATGCCCACATGAGAAGCAAGGAGTGATCTAAAGTCGACACCCTATCATCAAAACTGAAACAGCTAGAGGAGTGAGATCAAAAAAACTCAAAACCTAGCAGAAGACAAGAAATAACTAAGATCAGAGCAGAACTGAAGGAGATAGAAACATTAAAAACCCTTCAAAAAAATCAATAAATCCAGGAGCTGGTTTTTCGAAAAGATCAACAAAATAGACCACTAGCCAGATTACTAAAAAAGAAAAGAAAGAATAATCAAATAGAGGCAATAAAAAACGATAAAGGGGATATCATTACAAATTCCACAGAAATTCAAACCATCGTCAGAGATCATTACAAACAATTCTATGCACATACACTAGGAAACCTGGAAGAAATGGATAAATTCCTGGACACTTGTGTCCTCCCAAGCCTAAACCAGGAAGAAGTCGAAACCCTGAATAAATCAATAACAAGGTATGAAGTTGAGGCAGCAATTAAGAGCCTATCACTCAAAAAAAGCCCAGTTCCAGATGGGTTCACAGCCGAATTCTACCAGATATACAAAGAGGCGCTGGTACCATTCTTTCCGAAACTATTCCAAACATCCAAAAAGAGGGAATCCTTCCCAAATCATTATATGAGACCAACATCATCCTGATACCAAAACGCAGCAGAGACTCAGCAAGAAAAGAAAACTTCAGGCCAATATCCATGATGAATATAATTGCAAAAATCTTCAATAAAATAATCACAAACTGATTGCAAAAGCACATCAAAAAGCTTATCTACCATGATCAAGTAGGTTTCGTCCTGGGGATGAAGGCTGGTTCAACATATGCAAGACTATAAACATAATTCACCACATAAATGGAATGAAAGACAAAAAACACATGATTATCTCAATTGATGCAGACAAGCCCTTTGAGAAAATTCAACAGTCCTTTGTGCTAAAAACCCTCAATGAACTGGGTATTGATGGAATGCATCTCAAAATAATAAAAGCTATTTACGACAAACCAATAGCCAATATCACACTGAATGGGAAAAACCTGGAAGCATTCCCTTTGAAATCTGGCATTAGACAAGGATGCCCTCTCACCACTCCTATTCAATCTAGTACTGGAAGTTCTAGCTAGAGCAATCGGGCAAAAAAAAGAAATAAAGAGTATTGAAATAGAAAAGGAGGAAGTCAAATTGTCTCTATTTGCAGACAACATGATTGTCTATGTGGAATGCCCCATCATCTCAGCCCAAAATCTCCTGAAACTAATAAGCAACTTCAGCAAAGGACTCAGGATACAAAATCAATGTGCAAAAATCACAAGCATTCCTATACACCAATAACAGACTTAAAGAGAGTCAAATCAAGAATGAACTGCCATTGACAATTGCTACAAAGAGAGTAAAATACCTAGGAATACCACTAACAAAGGATGCAAAGGATCTCTTCAAGGAGAAGTACAAACCACTGCTCGACAAAATAAGAGAGGATACGAACAGATGGAGAAACATTCCATGCTCATGGTTAGGAAGAATCAATATTATGAAAATGGCCATACTGCCCAAAGTAATTTACTGATTCAATGCTATCCCCATCAAGCTACCAATGACCTTCTTCACAGAACTGAAAAAAAAACACCTTAAACTTCATATGGAACCAAAAGAGAGACCGCATAGCCAAGTCAATTCTAAGCAAAAAGAACAAAGCGAGAGGCATCAGACTACCAGACTTCAAACTATACTACAAGCCTACGGTAATCAAAACAGCATGATACTGGTACCAAAACAGAGATATAGACCAATGGAACGGAACAGAGGCCTCGGAGGCAACACAACATATCTACAACAATACAATCTTTGATAAACCTGACAAAAACAAGCAATGGGAAAAGGATTCCCATGTTTAATAAATGGTGTTGGGAAAACGGCCTAGCCATGTGCAGAAAGAAAAAAATGGACCCCTTCTTGACACCTTACACTAAAATTAACTCCACATGGATTAAAGACTTAAACATAAGACCTGGCACTATAAAAATCCTAGAAGAAAATCTAGGCAAAACCATTCAGGACATAGGAGTAGGCAAGGACTTCATAAACAAAACACCAAAAGCATTGGCAACAAAAGCCAAAATAGGCAAATGGGACCCAATCAAACTCCACAGCTTCTGCACTGCAAAAGAAACAGTCGTTAGAGTGAATCGGCAACCAACAGAATGGGAAAAAATTTTTGCAGTTTACCCATCTGACAAAAGGCTGATATCCAGAATTTGCAAAGAACTCAAACAGATTTAAAAGAAAAAAACAAGCCCATTCAAAAATGGGCAAAGGATATGAACAGACACTTTACAAAAGAAGACATAACTGAGGCCAACAAATGTATGAGAAAATGCTCATCATCACTGGTCATTAGAGAAATGCAAATCAAAACTACACTGAGATACCATCTCACACCAGTTAGAATGGTGATCATTAAAAAATCTGGAGACAACAGATGCTGGAGAGGATATGGAGAAATAGGAACACTTTTACACTGCTGGTGGGAGTGTAAATTAGTTCAACCATTGTGGAAGACAGTGTGGCGAATCCTCAAGGACCTAGACATAGAAATTCCATTTGACCTAGCAATTCCATTACTGGGTATATATCCAAAGGATTATAAATCATTCTACTATAAGGACACATGCACACGAATGTTCATTGCAGCACTGTTTACAATAGCAAAGGCCTGGAACCAACCCAAATACCCATCAACGATAGACTGGAATGGGAAAATGTGGCACATATATACCATGGAATATTATGCAGCCATCAAAAACGATGAGTTCATGTCCTTTGCAGGGACATGGATGAACCTGGAAACCATCATTCTCAGCAAACTGACACAAGAACAGAAAATGAAATACTGCATATTCTCACTCATAGGCGGGTGTTGAACAATGAGAACACGTGGACACAGGGAGGGGAGCATCACACACTGGGGTCTGTCAGGGGAAATAGGGGAGGGACAGTGGGGGTTGGGGAGTTGGGGAGAGATAGCATGGGGAGAAATGCCCAATGTAGGTGATGGGGAGGAAGGCAGCAAATCACACTGACATGTGTGTACCTAGGCAACAATCTTGCATGTTCTTCACATATACCCCAAAACCTAAAATGCAATAAAAAAAATAAAATAAAAGTAAAAAAAATAATAAAATGTTTGTCTTAAAGAAAAAATAAGCTTCTAAGAAATGTTATCCCAAGGTTAGCATTTAGAATGAGCAACATAAGTCATTAACTATAGAATTTATAGGGTACTGATTCTCACTTGGTGGTGTAGCTCTCATATTTTGATATCTGTAATTATTTCTCAGACTTAATTATATATTTGCTTATATGACATTATATATGAATGTAATATAATATGGTGATAATGTGACGTGGTTTCAAAAATTCTTAATTTTTTCTTTTCCTTTCAGTGCCTAAATCCAGGTATCTTGCTTGTGGGTTTAGAAGACAGGGCTTATCGCATATTTCTTTTCCTCTGCAATCTCTTACCCACAGACATGAAGGAAGGAAGGAAAGAAGAGAAAGAAGAAGGAAAGAAAATAGACCACTAGTTCATAGGGTGTTTTGGAGTTAGAAGGAGAAATAACAAAAGAGAAGAAAACCTTGCTGGGGCCTCTGAAAATTAAAAGTGAACTATGATTTCATCCACTGTCCTCAGTTTGGTTAATAAAATTAGTTTTTTAAAACTTTATATTTCATTTATGATATACATATATGGTGAGATAATTGAATTGTAATACCTCATTTGCAGTTTTCTGAATACCATTTCCCAAAGAATTTTATCAAAATTTATTAATTTAACTGAAAAATAGATAATACAGTATATAAAATAATAGACCAACTGGCTGCTTAATGACTTAAAAATTAATTTTTATCTTAAACTTAAAAAAATCCTATACTTTCAATATTTCAAGCAGTTTATTTTGCATTTTAGGTAGCAATAGAAATAAGAGGCTCTTCAGAAAAAAAATTTGTGTAAGCAGAATTGTGTTCCAAAAGGCTTGTGAAACTCCAAATTGATATTGTTATCTGCTAAGAGAGTGAATGAAATTATCATTTAGTAAAGCCCAGAGAAAATTTGATGGTCTCAGGTAAAATGAGTGATCTTCACAAAGGAAAAGTACTTCACAGAAGCCGGAAACTGGGATACCAAAGAGAGGAAACTGGTACTAGAATATTTCACTTAATGACTGCATGACAAGTCCATCACAGGTCATTATTTATAGGTCATTTTCCTGTCAATTGTAGGAATCCTGGCCTTAATCATTTGTGTCAACACACACTTCCGTATAAAAACTTCCAACATGATACAGATAATTCTGAGAAACATGATATGCGTTCTGACAATTTTGTGCTTTCCTTTTGACTCTGAATTTGCCAAGATATTTCCTGTTAACTCCTTGGCATGAGTATTTTTAAGTGTCTGATATTGGTGCCAGCACTGGGTGTCATGCTGGGAAAATCCAGTTTTTGTAAGGAAAATTACAAACCAATGTGGTCAGCAGTAAATTTAAAGGAACAATGCTACTTTTAAAAACATGTCTATAGTTAGATATTTCATTTTTTAAAATGAGTTTTCTCCTCACTTTTTTTTCCTTCGGTGGGATGTCTTTTCCCACTCCAAAATTATTTTATAAGTGAAAGTGATAAAATTACTGGAGTGTTATGTG